TCAAAAAGTCAAATGGAAAGTAAAAATTTCTTTTAAATATGTAAATGTGTCATATAACTTTGCAAAGTCAGTTAACATCTCTGAACATTTTCTTCATTATTAAATGAAGTTGAACTAGATGATTTCTAACACCTGCCTCCAAACTATAAGTCTATGATTTGTAAAAATTTTTCTTTATATGGGAACTGTGTTTCTATGGACTAAATAATGGATTACCAATAGAGTATTTAGAGTTCTATTTCAAACTTCATATCTTAGAGAGTAAAAAAACCCCATCTGTATCTCAGTTTCCTCAGCAGTAAAACAGAGATGATTTTTAATTCAGTTAAGCTACCATACTTATTTAAATGAAGACATTACAAGGTCAACTATTCTACCTGTCATATACTTGTAAAATTAATTTACTTTATCAATGTTTATTTTTATAGAATATAATTCTCCATTTACAGGGTTTAAATATTGTGCATAATACACACACACACACACACACACACACACATTTTTAACTCTGCCTAGAGTCAGTAAAAATGTAAGAATCTCTACAAAAAGAAAGGGCCTAGTGAATTCCTGTGATGACCAGCAGTAAGTGTGGCAAGCCACTTTTTTCTGCTCCTTTTCCTCTTCAAAACACTGGTTACCAGGCAAGTATTTGATTGTCCAAATGAACTAAATAGATAACATGTTAGTGCATATAGTCCACATAATGATTAAAAAAAAAAAACCGTTGCCATCAAGTCAATTCCGACTTTTAGCAACCCCATAGGACAGAGTAGAACTGCCCCATAGGGTTTCCAAAGTGTGGCTGCTGGATTTGAACTGCTGACCTTTTGATTAGCAGACAAGCTCTTAACCACTGTGTCACCAGGGCTCCTCCACACGATAGGAACTTGAATAATAAAGTTCTGCCATTGTAGCTCTTTAACATAACGTCAACGAATAATGGTTTAGTCTTTAAATTAGAATTTCATTTTGATCACTAATTAGTAAAAAATAGTAGAATTTTAGTAAACCCCTATTTAACTCTCCTGGAATCTTTGAAAAGTTTATTTTGGAACCTAGGAAGCCTAGAAGTTATCTGTAATTCAGAGTTGACCTTTCCTATGCCAATTCCTGAAAATAAAACATAGCACAAGTAAGCATTTTTAAACAATGAACTTGCTTAAGCTTTATAAAAGACATGAATTAACTGACAACTAAAATGTACTAAATGCCTTGATAGTCCTCATGTATTTTTCAGAAAAGCTCAACACCTTGCCTTGAATTCAGCCATGGGAACATAAAGAACTGGAAATACTAAGATAAAGTACAAAGAATTCATGCCACGATCTCAGATCAGCAGCACTCAGTGTCAAAAATCCTCAGTACAAAATGATCTGTATGTACAGTATTTAACAGTCCTTTTGATATCAAAGTTAGAAAATGACATTTTCCTACTGCTATGTAAACCCTCAGTCACCCTAAAACAGTTCGTTTGTCAGTCTGTCAATGTGAAACAAGCCAATCAAGCTCAAAGTCCAGAAATTGCAAAAGGGAGGCTGCAGGAAGGGGGTGTTGTTTGTGGGCAGTCTCTTGTACAAAGGGTAGACACAGTGGGTTGCCTTTCACTCCCTGCTGGAATGTGCTCATCCTTGTCCAGACTGGGAACTTCAGCTGTTGAGGGGAAATAGGTAGGTTTTCTAATTCCTTCACTGATACTTGGTGTCACCCAGTTTGTTGCATCTGTCCTGTATGGTTCCCAGAGCAGGGTAAACATTGACCCTGCCCCACCATTACACTGCCCCCTAGATCCACGGCTGCTTCCATCGGCCGGGTGGCTATAGGGACTTACAGGAAACTTCCTAGGAGGCTGCAGACCTAGAGAAGAAAATCCAACCAACAAGGACACATAGTTAAGTTGGCGTTACTAGAAGAAAAGACGTTGTTGATTACTCACAGTTTGCCTCTGAGACAGAAAGCACTAAGGTGAGGCACGCCAGCAGCGCCGCGCAGCGCCCACCTGGGACCCTCATTGCGAAGCGGGCTGAAGCGCGCTGAAGCATGCGCGGGGACGGTGGGGCTGCGCGGCGAAACCTGAGAGCTCTGCGCGCGGCGGAGCTGCGGGTCCGGGCGCCACTCGCTGAGGACTGCGCCGCGGCGGCGCGTGAGCGAGCGCCGACAGAACAGACCGCGCTGGGGGCGGAGGGGACCGCCCGCTCCCAGCCCCCAGTCCGGGGAGGGGAGTGATAACGAGAACATTTCCTGGAAATTTCTCTGGAGCTGGGGGTAGGGTGGCAGGCGAATGTTGGAGGCCTAGTAAACACTGTGGAGACATCCTTCCTTGCTCATCCCTGAGTTCCAGCGTTTCGTTGCGGTTCTCTGAATGTGAAGTTTCTGAAGCTCACGGGACCAGGGACACGCAGTAAAAACGGAGTGAGCTGCAAGACTAGGGTGGGAGGCTAGGTGGCCAAGAGAACTTTGAAGACTCAGAGGACACGGGGGTCTCCTGGCTCAGAAGGAGAATTCGTGAGAGACTGACGTTGAGGATTAGGATATTCAGCCAGAACCTATAAACAAATGAAGATCTATGTAGGCTAGGGAAGCCTAAGGGATGGTTTTGATCGTCAACATTTTAATTTTGTTCTTGCATTTATGGTGTAAAAAACTATACATAGTAAATAATGTTTGGGGAAGGGGAGAGAATGTTTCAAATGCCATCATCTTGAAACAGCTCGTTTTGGTTTTTCCATATTCTAGTTTTTGTCCTTGGGCATACGCATTTGAAATATGCTACTGTTTAAGGTTGCCTTTGGCGCTAAATTGCTTGGGTTCAAGTCTTAGTACGCTGCTTTATACTGTGTGACCTGCCGCAAATCTTTTAACCTCTCTAAGCCTCAGTTGTGACATCTGTAAAATGGGGATAATAATAGCCTTGATGTCAGGATTTAAGGGGTAACATGTAAAGCAATGAATGTGTATTAAATAGTAATTACTCAATGTACATTTACTATTATTTTATTATTTTTGCCTGAATGAAAATATAAATGGAGTTCCTATGTGTGAGTGAAATTCAACAGGCAGATAATATTTCATAGAAAGTTCCAGCTGGATGGAAGCTGATTAGAGTCACTTTTTTTTTTCTGGTAAGAGTAGGGACTGGGGAATTTTCATTCACGCATCCAAGAAAGAGTTACGAATATATCTATGACCCCTCCCGTCTTTAAATTATCATCCTTCTTGGTTTGTGTGACTCTGGCCTCCACCATGTCATTCCTTTCACCACTTCATCCCCATTCTTAAGTGATTTACTTATAAGTACAATTCATATCTTTGTAGAATTATTTGTTGTGCTAGCATACTTAACATTAAACAAAATAACTTTTAAGTACTATACTTAATTAGTCTCGGACTTACGACGTACTATGACAAACCGAACTTACCACCGTCTGTTTTTTTTTTTGTAAATCTTAGTAGTATGTACTACACAGAATGTTAAAATATATCTGAAAGTTTTTATGTAATGTTTCCAACCACCACAGACAAATAAAGATCGTATTTATAACGATACTGATAATAAAATGCAATAATGAAAACTAAAAAAAGAATGTATTTGACTTACGTCAGAACAGGCGACAGAGTTGATGGAACAGAACCCCAAAGTAAGTCAGGGACTACCTGTATTTGTCTTTCAAGTAAAAGTCCCCTTTGGGAATCTCTTCATCTTTTGAGGAAGAATTAAGAGTAGAATATCAACTTTGGAATCTTAAATTTCACAAGGAGGGAAAACCTACAAAATCATGAGTCAACAGCATCAGACGAGATCCAGAACAAAATCATCTCCAACCTAGGCATAAAAAGAATATAAAGAGTACAAAGAAAAAAAGAAATGTTAGAGAAACACAAGGTATCTAAAAAATAATCTTGCTTTTCCAGAGATTTTGGTTGAAAGTATCTTTTTCACACAAGTATGCACCACAGTGCCAGTGATATTGTCAGTACTGAAAAATTGGGTGTCCTACACTGTAATGTCAAACTTTAAAAAATCCACTGAAATGTTTAATAATAAAATTTACTGATATACCTTTGGATTAAAATTTAAGTTTTAAATTGTTCTCAGAAGTCACTCTGTGATGGTGACATCTGACTTTAGCCAAATATTAACACTTCGTCAATTGTATTCAGCCAAAATTTGTTTTCAGTACAATTCTAACTGTATAGCTAAAATACATTCAAAATTTAACATCTACTCCCAAAACTTGCTCCATTAATTATCTGCAGTCTCAGATAATACCTGCCCCACTCTTCTAATTGCTCATGATAAAAAACTTTGGAGTTGTCCTTGACTTATCTCATATCGTATGACTATTCCATCAGGAAAATCCAATCCAAAACATATCATGAATCTGACTACTTCTCATCACCCTCACTGGCTGGTCCTAAGCACCATAATCTCTCACCTGAATTATTGCAATAGTCTCCTGTCTGATCTCCCTGATTCTACTCTTGCCTGTTCAATCTACTCTCAACTCAGGGTCTAAAGTAATCCTAAAATTTGTCAGTTTATGTCATTTCTCTGTTCCAAACCCTACAAAATAAAAGTGCAAGTCCTTACAATGGCCTCTGAGACCTTAAGAAATCCGGACTCCTGGTGCTTCTGTGACCTATTCTCTCCTCTTCACTCCCCTTGCCTTAGAGTTGCCTCCGACTCATAGCAATCCTATAGGACAGAGCAGAACTGCCGCATAGGGTTTCCAAGGCTGTAATCTTTACGGAAGCAGACTGACACGTCTTTTTCCCGAAGAGGAGCTGGTAGATTTGAACCACTGAGCTTTTGGTTAGCAGCCGAGAGCTTAACCACTGCACCACGAGGGCTCCTTTTCACTCAGCCATTCCCATTCCTGGAATATTCAAGACATGGTCCCATCTTAGAAGGTTTGCACTTACTGTTTTGTCTTTCTAATGTTGTTCCCCAATATGCCCACATGGCTCACTCCTTCATCTCCTTTAAGTCCTTGCTCAGACGTGGCCTTTTCGGTAAAGCATACCGTTTCCACTCTTTTTAAAATATTGCCTTACCTAGTTTTACATTTCTCCTTATCATCTTCTACTAATATACTGTATTGTCTAATTTACTTATTATGTTTAATATCTGCCTTCTCCTCCAACCCCAGAGCAGGGAAAGACTGGATGTAACATTAGTGGAAGGAGGCAGTCTTTTGGACAGCCCAGTGATTATAGTTCTCCCCCATACATCCCCCTGCTAGAATTCTTAGGGTTCAGGACAAACAATAGACCACATTGAAGCCCAATATTTTGTCCAAAGAAGCAACAGGGCTAAACAGATACAATTCTGGACTGGCACCCAGATGTCCATCCGTATCGCCCTCCTCTGGTGATCAGGCCAAAAAATCTATGATTGTGCTCTGTGCAGTGAGTCACATAGCCCCTGGAGGATAAAACTGGCTGAGGGAGGGACTTCTGGGTCCCTCCTATGACATGTCGTGGGCACTCGTAGTCTCCATCCCACACGCACAGTCTTTTGAGCCTAGTGGGGACAGGCTCACCGTGCAACTGTTCCTGTTGTTTGCTGTCCGTTTTCTGTAAATGACTTTCATTTGCCAACATTTTGTAAGTGTCCCGTGTGTACTATTCAGTCTCACTAGGTGGGCGTAGCACCCATAGAGGGGTTGATGCTACTGGTTGTGGTCCTTATCCTAGTAGTCTTGTGGCTGCTTGGGATTTTAGGACCACCTATGAGGCAACCTGCATGTGCAATGTAATCAGAATGTTATTTCAATAGCCCTGGGAGATGTAATCAGAGTCTTATGTAGAATGATGGCAGCACAGCTATTTTCATTCTTCAGAATAGGCTAGATTATCCTGTGGTAAAAACAGCTCCCAAATCACAGTTTAAGATAACAATATTTTATTTCTTACTCACTGAAAGGCCACTGCAAGTCTGCATGACATTCCAAGCAGTGGTCTTCCATGTGTTGGCTCAGCATTCCTTGCTGTTTTGATTTTATAGTACCTCAAAGTCAACACCCACTAAAAAAACAAAAAACAAAAACCCACTGTCACCACCCTCATAGGGTTTCCAAGCCTGTAAATCTTTATAGAAGTAGATTGCCGCATCTTTCTCCCGTGGAGCCGGTGATTTCAAAGCATTGACCTTTTGGTTAGCAGTTGATCGCTTTAACCACTGCACCTCCAGGGGTCCTGTCAACACAAGCTTCTATGATTAGCATATCAATGAAAGTGAGAGCATGGAGAATTGTGGACCACTTCTTAAGTTAAGAAGACAGGTTATATTGAAAAAAATACATCTGGAATAGTTTGATGGGACAGAAGCCCAATCAGAGTAAACTGATAAGAGTGAGCAGTAAAAATAGAGATTTAGAATTTGGGCACCAGCAATTTAAGATGTTTGGTTTTGAAAGTAGTCAACAGGAAAGTACAAAATTGGGATTATAGTAAATTGTGGCCTTACCTGTCTTGCTCTCCTATCCCCATCTCTACCCTGGAGAGTGTAAACAAAGAGCTAGGATAAAATGGGAAGGGATATATTTAAGATATTGGGTCAAGAAGAAATAATTGAAGCAACAGAATTTAAGAGAAATTGAAAAAGATGGTTGTCAAAATACGAGGAAAGTAGTTAACCGTGGAAAAGGGGAGGTAGACTTCTTGATATATTGGAAAATATAAAGAGACAGGGATGACAGGAAGGGAGGAAAAGTTGTGAAAGTATCATCTAAAGGTATTTTAATGTATGGATGGGACAGTCTGGGTAGAGGTAGCATCTGGCACTGATGAGGAAGGGCGAGTTCACGTAGGAAAACCAACCAAAACCACAAAACCAAACCAAACCTGTTGCCATCGAGTCAATTCCGACTCATAGCAACCAGTAGAGGTCATATTGTTGTTGTGTGTGATTGATTTGATTCTGACCCATAGTGACCCTATAGGACAGACCAGAACTGCCCCATAAGCTGGTGGACTCAAACTGCCAAACTTTTGGTTAACAGCCAAGCTATTAACCACTGTGTCACCAGGGTTCCAGTTTAGAGGTCATATAACATCGGGCACCACCTCGATGCCCTGAGTGTCTCATGGGGCCCAAAGCATTTACTTTGATAAAAATTAGACTATTTAAAGGAGGCCCGAGCCCCTGGATACTGCAGCTAGGAATAATGGAATAGAACTGCAGTTCTATCTTGTTGGTTTTAGGAACTGAGGCCATGATTAAAGAATTGACTCAAGATACAACCTAATCCTGTAGATTGAGTCCTGTCTCATTGACATAACTGCCTCTAATCCTGGTTTATTAACATCACAGAGGTTAGGATTTACAACACATAGGATAATGTCATAAGATCACAAAATGGTGGACAACCACACAATACTGGGAATCAGGGCCTAGCTAAGTTGACACACATTTTTTTTTCCCCCAATTGCTCAAGGCTAGAGCTCATATAGCATTGAGCAATTGGGGAAAAAAAATGAGGTTATCAAGGCAGGGTACTGAGATAGATGAGTAAGCTTTCTGGCCATTTGAAGAAAGAAGTAGAACAATACGTGCCATAAACATTGACAGGATGGGTGACACCAATTTCAAAATCTGCTATCTGTGATTTGTCAGAAACTGCACTAGAACTTTATTTCTCTCGTTTAATCATCCAACAATCCTGCAAAGTAGGCATTCTCATTCTCACTTTACAGATAGGTTATTTGGATGGGGTACTTGGACTCAGAGACAGTAATCCGTATATGTAAGAGTAATCTGCTATATATGTATATATATGTATATATATCTGTAATCTGCTATTTAAGAGTTCAATTTAGGGTCACATAAATTAGTAAAGGAGAGAGACTAATTTTAAATTTAGGTCTATTTAGCCACAGACCATTATTTTCCCTGGATACACTAGACTTGCCAGTGCCCTCCCTCTTACCAGAATTTGAAACTATATATTTAAGTGGAAATTGGCTGGACACATAGGTAGGTCCCTACATATTGGGGAAGCACTTTTTTGTTTTCCTGTAGGAGGTACTTGTCATTTCTTCTCGAGAGAATAAAAATGCAAATATTACATATATTTTTAAATAGAATAAAATATGTTATTAAACAGCCTATAGAACACCATTTTCATCTTGGGGAAACCAAGTAGCTAACAATCTATGTATCTAAAAAGTCTGTGAAAAACATATCAGAATGTTAACACTGGGTATCTTTGAGTGGTGAGTTTGAGATCTTACTTTCTTCATCTTGTTCCCTTTTCAATGTTTTTCACCTTTCCTACAGTGAGCATATTTTTTTTTGTAATCATAACCCCCTACGGTAAATATACAATTCCATTTCATATTTTATGTGATAGACAGTGATAACCATTATACAGATTAAAACGTCACTGTTATCTGAACTATTGAGATAATTTTGTAAACGAGTTTTTTTTTCCTAGTCCTCAACTTATGATAATTGCCCCAGAGTATAGAGGCAATACGCTGTACTTGTGCTGCCAAAGATTGACGGAATCACAGAGGATTACAATCCCTGCTTCATAAAACAAAACAAAAGACGACACAAGATATGAGCTCCCTGGATCTCGGTTGGGGATATTGGAGACAGACGAACAGCATCCTTGGTTTTTATACAAATAGATCCCAGCACCTGGGATGAGACTCAGATCCCTCAGTTTATCTCTGGACGCTCCTGTTGCCGGGTTACGAGAACCTCGAGCTCCGCCCCCTTCACTTAGACCACGCCCCATTCTTCCTTCCACTTCTCTGGCATGGGCGGGGCGCTGGGCTCCTTCAGCCACTCAGAAGCCCCCACCGCGGGCCCTCGAATAATAACTGGAGAAGCTCATGGGCGGGGCTTGGGGAGGATCTTCCGCGCCGCGTAGAAACGTCAGCACGCGGAGGCGGGGGTTTTCTTTGGTCGGACTCCGCTATCTTCGCTCCTGGGTATCTGCGCCTCTGGCCCGGCGGTCTTCGGGGAGGAGGGTTGTCGTCGTCCGCTAGCGGACCGGCGCGGGTAGCAGGGCTTGGTGCACCGACCAGTAGCCTTCAACTCCTTCGCAACCTCTCCTCTGGGCCTGGCCGCTTCAGGGTCTCTTCGGAGCGGCGGCGCCCCCCGGGACTTGGCCTGGAGCAGTCAGGGGCCCATCCCCGCTCCGGGCTCGAATGGGAGGCGGCGGGAGCAGCGGCCTGAGATGTTCAGTCTGATGGCCAATTGCTGCAGCTGGCTCAAGCGGTGGCGGGAACCCGTCAGGTAGGCTGGAGCCGGGTCGCCTAGCGCCGTCCCGGGGTTTGGGGACGACTGCCCCAGTGGGGCCGGGTGGGGCGCCGCCTCTCTCAGCCCCAAGACGAGTCTCTCCTAGGCCACGGGGGATGCTTTCGCTCCCAGCCTGCCTTGGTTTTTGTCCCGGGAGGGAGAGATGTTTTAAGGTGAATGCAGCCTTATTGCCTGGTTGCCTTTGAGAGAAGTTCTTAACAACATTGCTTATTATTTAATTCCACTAAATATTATTATAAATAAGCAGTATTTAAATGGCTTCGAATTTCTTAAGTTGTGAGTGTTTGTGTGTGTTTGTGAATCTGTGTAGTTGGAAACTGTTGTGTTTTCCCTCTGAAGCAACATCCACACATCCCTTGCCAACACATACACCCACACACACGGTTTTGTTGGAGGACTTGGGCTTGAAATCTGGCTCCACTAAATTATATGATTTAACCATTTGGGCCTCACCTTCCTTATATGTTAAATGGGGATGATAATATCTTTGTTTTAGGGGTGTTGTATTAAATGAGAATAACAGAGAAGTGTTTACTAGACTAGTGTAGGTTTCATTTTCGTATGGACTCTTAATTGAAAGAGTCCACTTCTTAATATTTCATTTTGAAAAGCTAGACGTATTAATATTTTTTGCCTTTTACTTGATCTGTTACTTTACTTGATATTCATTCAGTCAACAGACATTTGTTGAGTATATACCGTGTGCTAGGCACTGTGTTAGAAAGAAGTGAAAAGGATGCGTTTAAAACCCGGTGGCCCAACCTGTTAAGAGACCTTGAGTTTTTTACTCTATAAATAATGTTGACTTTATATAGTTCTACTCCAGAATTAGGCCAAAGGTAGAACATTGCAAAGGGTTTTTATTTTATTTTCATTAACATTTCAATAGCATTTGCTGTAAGGATGAACCATCCTTTCATGAATGAATCTGAAAACCTACACATGTATTATAATGAAAATACATGTCTACATTTGGAAAATGAACTTGCTTTAACTGAAATTTTGAGGTTCACTATTAACTAACTAGATTTTATTGTTCACTCTTCATTGTGTTGGATAACGTAATATCTGAAGCAATGCAAAGCATTCACTATTTAAATATAAGTAATATGATCTATTCTAAGGGTCGAAGATGTGTTTGGGTGTGTAGACTGATTTGTTTGTTTTAATCACACTTTGGTCTGATTCCCAGAGTCTCTACTAAGACTTGAGTGACAGACATAATAGGTGGCACCTCATGTTTTTCTTTGAGTCTGCATTTTTAAAATGTATTTGATTTTTAAAAGAGGGCATTATCTCATATGTCCTCTTAAGAACTAAAAACACGACTAATGGACCACAACTACCACGGCCTCCACCAGACTGAGTCCAGTACAACTAGATGGTGCCGGGCTACCACCACTGACTGCTTTGACAGGGATCACAACAGAGGGTCCCAGACAGAGCTGGAGAAAAATGTAGAATAAAATTCTAACTCACAAAAAAGACCAGACTTAATGGCCTGACAAGGGACTAGAGAAACCCCGAGAGTATGGCCCCTGGACACCCTTTTAGCTCAGTAAAGAAGTAACTCCCGAGGTTCGCCGTTCAGCTGAAGATTAGACAGCCTCATAAAACAAAACAAGACTAATGGGGCACAACAGTCCTGGGACAAGGACTAGAAGGCAGGAGGGGACAGGAAGGCTGGTAATAGGGAACCTAAGGCTGAGAAGGGACAGTGTTGACATGTCATGGGGTTGTTAACCATTGTCATAAAACAATATTTGTACTAACTGTTTAATGAGGAACTATTTGTTCTATAAACCTGCATCTAAAGTGCAAAAAAAAAAAAGGACTAAAAATACTCAAAAAAGTTTGCAGTCCCAGGGAATTTTCGATTTAATTCATCATTCTTAGTATCTGCTTTTCTTAGCATCTGTAGTATAATCTCTGAGATGATTTGCTTAAAGAAAAGACAGATTTCGGAGAAAGGAGAATATACTGATTTCCAAGGAGAATGGATAATTAGATTTTATTAATACAGCAAAATTGAAATCCAGCTGTATAATTTAGAGTGTACTGTCTTTAATAACATCTAGATTTGTACTCTCTAATAGGGTAGTGACTAGCCACACATGGCTTTTCAGCATTTGAAATGTGGCTAATCCAAACAGAGATGCTATAAACATATAATATATACTGAATTTTGAAGACTTAGTATGCCAAAGAAAAAGTAAAATATCTCATTTTTTTTTTAAATTTGATTACATGTTGAAATAACTTTTGCATATATTGGATTAAATAAAATATATTATTAAAATTAATATCACTTTTTAACACAGCTACTGGAAAATTTAAACTTTGGTATTTGGTTCTCATTCTATTTCTGTTGGAATTTGTTGATCTAGATAATGCCTAGGTAAACATCTCTCATTGCTGGATAGAGTTAACTGTCAAAAGACTTGAAAACAAATTAGATTACACCTATACTTTTAAGTAACCTTGTTCTATGACTGGTCTGTAATGGTGACTGAATATTTACTAAATTTTGTATGTAGTTTGATCACCGCTTAGCAATAATGATCCTAACGTAAGCAACATTTGAAGAGAGTTCCACTTATTTTTCTGAAATAAATTAGAGGTGAGCACAAATGGGTTGTAAAAACAATAAAAATGTATGCTTTTCTGATGTGGTGTTCTGTATTTTTTTCAAGAGAAGTTTCTTCTTTGAGTATTGTCTTTATGCTTTCTAAAGAATGTTTAGAGGTTTAGGCTATGCTGTTCTTCATAGAGGAGTACCTGGGTGGTGCAGATGGTTAAGCAATGGCCTACTAATGGAAAGGTTGGTGGTTCACACCCACCCAGAAGTGCCTCAGAAGTAAGGTCTGGCGATCTGTTTTTGAAAGGTTACAGCCTTGAAAATCCTATAAAGTGCAGTTCTACTCTGTACCCTGGGGGTCACTGTGAGTTGAGATTGACTCAACAGCAACTAACAACAACAATAACAAGGTTCCTCATTGAGATTCCTCTTCATGTTTGTATTTTTTATGAAGATGTGTTTGCAAATGTGAGGCGTGTGTGTGTGAGAGAAAGTAATGAATGATTATTAATACAATATGTTCTGAGATTATTTTGCTGATTTATCTAACAGATTCTGTACCCTTTGGAATTACCCACCTGCCTTCACTTAGATGCTCTCTCTCCCAATGAGTATATTCTTAGAGAGTGGAAATCAGGGATTGGATTTAGTATTCAGAACAGGTGAAAAAGACAAGGCAGGAGTCAGAGATCAAGTGTTAAGATACCAGTTTTGGTCAGAAATCAGAAACAGGATGCCAAGCAATTCAAGAAGGCAGTCAGAGTTAGAATTGCACTTGTGATTGTTATCCAGTAGCCAGAACCTGGGAGCCCTGGTGGTGCAGTGGTTAAGTGTTCGGGTGCTAACCAGAAGGTCAGCAGTTTGAATCCACCAGCTGCTCCTTGGAAGCCGTATGGGGCAGTTCTACTCCGTCCTGTAGGGTCACTATGAATTGGGATCAGCTTGAAGGCAATGGGTTTTGGTTTTTAGTCGGAACTTGAACCTAGATTTTCAAGCTAGTTAATCTTGAATAATCTAAATACCAGTACTCCACATATAAGTGATTGCTTCTAAAGATGTAGTACAGTATAGTGGGTTTTTTCTTTTTTGATGTTTTATTTTGGCCATAGCACAATGATTAAAACTAAGAAAATTAACATTGTATTTAATCATTCCTGTTATTAAATATTTTGAATGTTTATAATGTTTCACTATTATCCACAGTGCTTTGGTGAGCATCCATATATAAATCTTTGGAAATGGAATTCTGAGTCAAATGGTATGAAAAAGTTTAAAGTATTTGATACATATTGCCGAATTCCTCTTCAAAAAGTATTTTATTTTACCAAATTTATACTCCTGTCAGCAGTGAAGGAGGGTACCACTTCCCTTCAAAAAATGGGGAGTCATAATATTTTTGTCTTTGCCAGGTTAAGGTGAAAATGCTATCTGCTTTAGTTTCTATTTCCTTGATTTCAATCTTTTTTTTTTTAAAGAAATAGGTAATAAATCCTTGAAGCTCCAACCATCCTATTCATCTTCACCCATCCCTCCCCAGAGATAAGCACTACCTTGAACTAGTTTCTTGTCCATCTATGTTTGTCAGAGTCACAATTCAGCCCACCAGAACTTTACTTGGAACTTACTAGTGAATTATTGTTTATTGTGACTAAGCCTAAAAGAAGAGACTCAGCTGTCACACTAAGCAATGTGGATCAATGTTTTGTGTACATCAGTGTGGTGTCTAGTAAAGCATACTGTGACATGGTACGTCATCTGTGTATGAACTTTTTCATTGGGGCTGTTCTCAATAAATACAACTGGAATTTTTAGACCATTGATAGAAACTGCTGAGTTTGTAACTCCCTAATTAAGCAGGACATACAGATTAGAAAGGATTATCTGATGTGCTGTATGCAGAACTGGAATGTCGTATATTTCTTTCCATCCTCCCACAACATCTTGCTTACACATAGTAAGAATCATGGAATTTTCGGATAGAAAGGTGCCTAGAGATAATCTGATTCGACCCCTTATACTTTAGAGCTGAAAAAACTGATACTAAGAATTTCACTTGATCAAGACTTTAAAACTAGCATATGATCACCAGGTTTGATGCTCCCTCTATTTATGAGTGCTCAGTAAGTGTAGATAGTGATTTTGATGTAATATTATGCTAGGCTGTACAACCCTACTCAAAATAATCAGAAAATAGTGCACTTGTGCACTAAAATCACACCATAATTTTTTTTTTTTTGGTAAATTTTTTCATTCTTATGATTTTTTGGGTAAGTTGTTTCATTCACACATATATCATAAAATGTGTTTAGGTTACTTTTAAAACTTAGAACTTGATCCATGTAGTTTTAAATATTTTAGGTAATAAATACCAATTTGATGTGTTGAAATTCACTTTTTA